GGGGGGGATGTGTGGCGTTCACAATATAACCCCCCCTTCGCAAACCGCCCGGTGGATAGGAAACCCCTTATCAAACCGGGGGCTAAAAAAGCCCCCCCCCCTGGGGGGGCCCCACCCGTGAAGGGAAATTTTGGGGGGCCCCCCCCCCCCCCCCGGGCTGAAAAGGGACTGCCTGTAGTCTGCTCTGGTCAGGTCTGGTAGATTTTATCTTTCACATCACTTTGGAAAGGTAACTAGACAAAAAGGCATAACCAAATGGGAAAAAAGAAAGTGTAAAAGATAACTTACTTGTGTCACCTGTTTTAGTAAGCCACGCAACATGTAGTGTAATAAAATATAAATAAAAACTGTGAGGATGAAGGTGAAGTTTCCCCAAAGTTAATTAACAAGACTAGTACATGAAGTCTTTTTCAAGATTTTATTGATCAACAAGAATATTATGACAAAAGACTGATTTAACTATGTATAAAAAATCTGACAAAATGCTGTGTAGTAATAAATCATGCAAATAGAAAACCGATGTTTTTTTGCCTGCATAGCTAGATATTTCGTAAATTCCACTCTTAACTCATTTATAGTTGTCATGTAAATCACTATGAAATTCTAAGTTGTCATGTAACTGATGCTTATTTTACTATGTAGCTTCTGAAATACATTATTTGTGAGAGCACCTAACTCAAATGTCTTAATAAACATTTTACTCAGAGCGAGTTCAACAACATCATCATAGGTTACTTCTCAAAAACTTTCTTATAATGGAGGTAGGTCAATTTTAAGGTCGCTAGCTTCTAACAACTTGATTTTTTTTAATGACGATAGCCGTATAAGAAAATCAAATTAGAATGAACTTTGAAATATCTTAGTAGTTCCTTTTTGACCGCTTTCAAATTCCCTGATCGCCTTCAACGAGTGTCAAACCCTGCTAGCTATGCTACTGAAAATTACGTATATACAAACAAATGGAACAAAAAAGATATTCTCTTAAGAGCTACCCGAAAAGTGACAGCAAAATTAAGATTGTTCTCTTAACAATAACAATTTGTAACGTTTATTACCAAACTGAAAAAGTTCCGCGTAACAGTTACTACTAAAATTTTGCCAGTATTTGATCTCTAATCCTTACCGTGTTTGTGGACGACACAGCCGGAGAAGGACCAAAGAAATGTTTACGCCAAGAACTTAGCCTATATCATTTCAAAGGCTGTTTGTAACAGAAAATTGAAGACTGCACATAAAGCGATTTCTAAATCAGAAGCCTAGCATAAAAATTGCCTTATAGAGCTAAAAAAGAGAGATTTTTATCAAGCTGCTTGGTTCATGGATTCACTGGGGTTTGCGCTGTTTCGCAAACCGCACTCTGACTCCCGCTCAAACTCTGAGCCAGATTTGATGCGCCCCGGGTCTTCCGAAAGATTATCGTCCATGCGTAACAAAATAGAACTATAGTAACCACGGATCCCACTGAAACAAAGAATGTAATAATAAACCATTGGCCGCGTTTTTCCCTCAAAGGGGAAACGAGAACGATCTTTGTGGTTGTTTCATTCGTAGAGGCTAACAAGGCCCCACCTGTTGTGTCTACGAGTTTAACCCATATCACGTTCCCAGGCAGTTTCTTGATGTTATTGGCAATATTCACAGTCAAAGAACCACTCCACTGACCATCAGTCATTGATAGTGTTCCAGATGAGGGCCATATAAGGTCACTGATGTCTGTTGAATCATTGTGATACAGGGACCAACGCACTGTGATGTTACCCTGAGAACCTTTGGATCGGCGAACTGGTAGTTCTAACTTAGCAGTCTTCTGCGTCAGCGTGACTTTGATGTTCCCATCTAAAGAAAAAACTGAAAATGGCCAAAAATGTCACTTAACCTCGCGTATTAGTCTTATTAGCAGGCCTGAGATCGTACTTTTTTTTGTGATTGGCGAGAATGATATTACTCTTTGTAAAGTGATGGGACCAGACATATCGTAATCAATTAAACCTAGGTCTTCAGCTATCATGTTATGTGGTACTTTGTGGCTATATCACTCTTTAAAATACATCATATGTACTGAAACATGTTGTCGATTTAACTAATACAGATGCTAATTTTTAACGAAAAAAGGAGTTGAATTAGACACAAACACACAGAGAAATTTGGAGGTTGAACTGAACCAATAGAAAAAGGGGAAATGAGTCAAAGTAGTTAACCGGTCACCATATTTAGAGTTGTTTGATGAGGCCGACGAGTGTACCCCTAAGATCTCTGATTATTGCAAAGTTCCTATTACTCTTGTTGATGAGCTTTCATAAAAACAGTATTACCCATAAGTAGACCTTCTAGTGAGGAGACTTTTTGCCAAGATACCTACTTAAATGTTTCTTGTCAAACAGGATCAAGCCGTTCCGCGCAGCGAAGTCCCAGAAGAATGCAAACTGAGTTAAGTGACAGACGTTTACTTCCAACAGCTTGATGGATCGGTTCACGTGACTCCAAGGTTCTGGACAGGTTAGGGCCGCATCGAACCTTAAAAATAAATTACTTAAATTATTTTAGAAATGTAGGAGGGCACCTTTATGGCTGGCTGACTGTTGTCACGTGTTTATTTGCATCAGATGGACAAGAGCCTCACATGACCAGCTGATCAAAGTGTTTGCTCTGGGCAAAAACATCACATCTCCAGTAAGCAACTCATTATATCTCTCAGTTATGAACTACGCCAAGCACCAAGCGTGGGAAATGGTGAATGGTTTTGTAAACCTCGGGCCAGGGCTTTTTCCTTGGAAATTTGAAGGGTAAAGGCCGTGGGACGAGTTTGTAAATTTTGACGTTTCTTCTGATTAGTTGAGAAAAATCGCGGGATTTTCAATCAGTCACAAAGCAAGTAGCAAAGCAAAACTAAAGATTGCCCAAGACGACCTTGCACATTCATTTTTAAAAAGTTTTTTCGATGTCAGCAAAAGGGAACATTTTGGGCCAGGTGAGAACGTGGCTTTTCAAACTGGTGGCAGTTTCTGTGAACTGCAACCTTTTCTCCTACACTCCCAACTCCTTACTAGCCGCTATGTAGTACAAAAATAGCTTATAGACCTCCAGTGAGCTCAAACAATGAAACGAGGTCGAGACTTTGGTGACGGCTGCGAAGAAAATCAGTTTATTCTATTCTGTAGTAATATCCCTGCAAGATCCTTATGACGCTGACCGCAAGGTTTGTCATTATGAGGAAAAGTCATGTTTACAGTAACAAGCAACTGTGATAAAAGCTTAGTTCGAAAGTACGTAAAATTTTCACTCTTGCTATTGATTAAGCTTTTTGAGTAACTGTCTACCTTCTGTCCGTAGCATGGATGTCTTAAAATGTATCTTATAGTTAACTAACAAAATCATTAAATAAATAAAAAGTACTTTTGATATAATTATAAGAGACGACTTAGCGGCTTTGGTACTTTCAAGCCCCCAAAAAAGAAATTTCAACTGTACGGAGAGATTTTCAGGATCAATTTAGAGCGTAAATTAAAGCAGTAAAAGAAAAAAAAGTAAAATGTTACCAGGTTTGGTTATCTGGATCCCACAGATACAAAATAGGATCTACATCCTCCCTGGTAAGATCGTTGTTCACGTGCTTTCCATTAGCTTTTACCAGGTTAGCAACGTCATAGAACATACTGATCTTGATCGGCTTGACAAATCGATATCCTTTTGTAACGGTGTTTTTCAGTGGATTCAGTGCTTTGATCATGAAACTGTAGTTTCCAAGCAAGAATTGCTGTTATAAAGAAGAACAATAGTTTGAAACTGATGTAAAGACCAGAAGTATTGCTTTACGATTATAAACTACGTGTTTCACCACATCATTTTGGTTGCCGGCAACCATGCCGTTATTTTCTTTTGTTAGCACAGCTAGGCGTGATGCGATTTTATATACCAAGTGCGCCGGAGTCATTTCCTTAGCGCCACTATTCCACTGCTATTGAATTTTTGCCACATACCTTTGGTTTCGTCTTAGCTGGATCACTGACAGGTCCCTCTTCAGTGTTGTTATTGCTTACTGCCTCGTCGTCCAACCTGTAACATCGTAGCTTCACTTTCTCCTTAACAGCACCCTCGGGTATGGTCATTGTCCCATATGTCTGCCCCACACCCTCGTCCTTGCGCGTGCCATCATCTTTGACATTTACGGTATCAAAGAAGAACGACCCTTTTGATGAATTTTCGAAGGTAAATTCAGTTTTTCCGACTACTATTCCATTGGAAGATAACTTTTCTGAGAGTAAACCAGCGCCATTCGTCGCTCTTACGGTGGCATAGTACTTTTTTCCGATCTCAAGTACAGCATCATCGAGCTTGGCGCGCCATACCGTAGTATTGATGACTTCTTCATAGTCTGATATGTCTGTCAAATTTGGTCCAGTGCCCCAGGCAACCTCGTATGACGTCACTCCACTGTCTGGGTCTTTTGCCAAAAAGTAAGCAAAAATGATATCGACAAAAACCTGACATAAAAAATAGTATTTTGAGTATAAATAACGGTTATTATGGGCAGAGTCTAAAATCTTTTGATGTTCACAAATTCTTCTTTTATTCACAGCTCAAACGTTTTCTTACCGTTTTCCTCACAGAACTGCTATTTCTCCAGTTATGCGGCAATGTTAGTTCTAACTACGTAAAAATTCACCTTCAGACCTGTGTTCAACTGTTTTAGAACATGCTTTAGACAAAAAAGGGAGGTGCATCAGAGTGCCATTATAGTTTTACCTGGTAGTCTATATCTGGTCCCGTGACCCCGTCTCTTACATACTTCATGACAGGAGGTGTGACGTCTATAGTAACGCCGTCGCTATGTGCCGCTGAGCATTTGCGGGCTCCATTGCAGGCTACAACTGTGACGTAATAAGAATCACCGTGCTCTAATTTAAACCCATAGTGACTTCCGTTGGGTCTAATTCCCGTGCTTTCGCACACTCGAATGTCATCTCTCATTGGCTGAGACCCAACACACCAGAAATAATCGACAACGCCACTTTCGTTGTCCAGGAAGTTAATCCATCTAGCGTGAATCTCATGCTTATTACTGGTGAAATCAATATCTGTCTCCTGAAATTTTCGAGTAGAACACTGGCTGTTTTCCCCAAATGTTGTGTTCTCGGAACAGTTTAAGTTCTGATCGCTGCCAAGACCATCATATACGACTCCAGTTTCAGGAGCCGTAGAGTCGATAACGAATGATTCCGATATAGAGCTTGTGGACTGATTGGCTCGCGTAGTTTCAAGAAACTCGATAGTGTAGACTTTGTTGGGTCCAGGAACAAAGAAGGATCCATTTCCTAGGTGAAGATTGACTCCATGGGTGGTGTTGCGTCCGTTTTTTGAAGTAACGTAGGATTCATTATCGCAGATACCTGTTGTTAATAGTACGTAAGGGTCATTAGATGAAGGGCATGTTGTTTTGGCACACTCTGAGCAAGTTTCACTAAAGCCACCAAATGATTTTCTGCCTTGTTTGCAAGGTAAGCATGATACAGGACGTACCCTGTGCAGGCCAGAAACTCTACTGCGGAAGTGATTTAAGGGACAATATGCTGCCATAAATACTCTTCCCGTGCTTATCCCAGTCATTTCACTGTCAATCTTTGGCCACGTAAGTACGTCAGGTAATCCAAACAGGATGGCATTTCCTTTGAATGCAACTGTTGTTGGAGTTCTTAGTCCATCGACTCTCAATCCGCTGTCTCGGGCAAGAACCGTCCCTAGGTTAATGCATTCTTCAGGTACTTTTTCGTGGGAATCTTTTGAGTATATTCCTTGAAAACCAAGAAGCTGTACTCCTTTTCCACCACCGCCAGTTTGGATACCTAGAGCGACAATAAAGCCTTCCGTTCTGGCGTTTACGTCCAGATGCCCACTCAAGTCCTCCTTATAACCCCACGCACGGTACTCACAGACCACCTGGTGGGTGTTGGAAGTAGAATGCAACTGATATACTTGCAGCAACCTTGATGACCTTGAAAGGACAACAAGGGAATCAGTCTTGGTGACGTACATCGCTAGTGGTCCCGTGTGGCTTAACGATGGAGCTAAACAGATGATTTGGCGGAGAAGCAGTGTATTAGTGGAGTAAATTGCAACGCAGCTATTCTTTCCATCTCTTGTAGTTATTGCTATTAACCGTTCATTTAGAGCTATTGATCTTCCAAAGTGCGGATCTTTCATTTCTTCACCAAGTACTTGGACAAACCTCCATGGTCCATTGTTCGCCCGGAAGACCGCCACAATGCTGTTATTTGAGTTTGGCATCGTTCCGGCTACTGCAATAATGTCCTTGTTGCCAGCAAACACCTCACCTACCGCATTTGTCCATGATTTATTTCCTGAACACACTGGCGTTGTTAAGTTTTTACATCTTCCTATCTCGATTGCCTTTCTCAATCCAATATTGTCACTTGCATGTTCGTATAGGTAGACTTTGCCGTTTAGAAGAAAAATAATTCTGTTTCCATATGAGGCTATCTTAACTCTTGCATTAGGATCTGATCCGCTCTTCAGTGGAATAGAATGAGAAGCAGTTTTGGTTCCAAGTGACTGTATGACTACCTTCTTTTTGCTTCCAATGGCTATCATGTCATTTGGTAAATTAGCGATGGAGACTCCAAAGTCTTCGCTTGGTAATGCTGGCTTCAAGTGCGTGTCACTGAAGACGGTGGGTGTCTTTACAGACCTTCTGGCGCAGCACGGGCCTTCTGCATTAGAGAATCCAGGGATAACTTTCATCGTTCTGGACTGGATGGTCGTGTTTGTAATATTTTCGCTACTTGAAGCTCTCTTGACAACGATTTTATATTCTGCCGTTGGGCTAAAAAGATTATCAGTTTTGTTGGACGTCCTGTTTGACACACCACTCCTAACGATAAGGTCCAAGTCCGCTGGAGATGATATGTATGTGATATCCAAAGATGCTGCGCTCTGGTTAAGAGGGGAAAGTCTCAGATTTGGCCACCAGTGTAAATGCTCAACTTTGGCAGCTTTGTCAAGGATTTTAAGACTGCGTTTAGGTGGAGGACTTGGCTCGATTCTTACTCCATCGGTTGAAGCTTCAGAGTATATACCACCCTCGTTCCAAACCTTGACTATACCACGGTAGCGGTTCCAAGGCTGAAAAGGAATACTTTGTATCGTAACATTTTGATACCAAGGTAGTACTTCCATGTATGGCTGTTTAAGAAGCTCACCATTCCAGGATTTTGTGTCAATTAGTCGTGGCACAGAAATGTTAGAGGATGAAGTTGTCACAGCCACTTGAATGCGCAAGCGAGAAACTTCGCGAAGGTATTTCCCGACGATATGCCAGCTAAGTGACAGGCCTTGGATGGTATCCTGCCAGTCAATATCTGTGAAATTGCTTGTCTCTAACTTTGAAGTGTCAATAACGTCCACTAGTTCTGGTGCTACTGTTATTACCGTGCAAGGTTCTGATATTATTTGCTTTTTAAGCTTTGCCCCATTTACACCATACACAATGGAAAAAATCGTCAACCCCGAACGAAGTCTATTTACAATAGCGGCGCCTCTGGTTTCCTTTCCAACCGATTTTAAAGGCACCACGTCACATGACGTCTTTGCCGTTCCAACACACCATTTATACTCCGCTACTCCGCTCTCAAGGTCCTCCAATTCATTCCAGCCGGACATTAAGTGCTCTTCGGTGCACCTGAACCAGACCGGGGAGATCTCTTGGTTCTTATCTTTAAGCGTTGGCGGTGTCAAATCTATCAAAACCCCGTCAGTTTTCGTTTCAGAATACATGCCAATTCTGTTAATACCTCTCACAATCGCGTGGTAGGTTTTTCCATGCAAAAGCTGTAATCCATCAATTGTATAACTTGTGTTTAGTCCAACATCAATGAAGGACGTGACTGAACAATTCTGAACAAAAGAACTCAGGCACACTTCATATTTTTTCACTCCACTTTCGAGGTCAATGAAGGTGATCCAGCTGAAATAAATGAATAAATAAATAAGTGACCGATGTTTCGCGCTATCACCTTATGTATACGTCATAGATTTTGGCGACTGCGCTCCGACTTAAGCTACCGGAAAGGCGTAAGTTTGTACTATTCTTCACGCTTTTTTTTCGAGTTTGTCTGTATACCAACGTTCGTAAATGTCATAAGTAGGTTGGCTATGATCGCGACTATACCGTACCTCAGAGGCACTTCTGAAACCATCGCCACGTATACTACAACCTTAAAATATACGTGTTGTACACTAACCGATAGCCACTTTACGACGCCTTTTAACTAATGTCAGGGACAAAGACAAACCGGAGGACAGACAGGGAGCAGTATACAAGATCAAATGCTGCGACTGCAAGGCTACTTACATTTGTAGGCAGAAACCTTGGCACGCGACTGACCGAACATAAACGAGCGACGAGTAATGGTGACGTCAACAATCACATTGCTGAGCACCATTTACAGGCGAAACATCAAATCGATTGGGACTCTGCGACATGTGTTACGTATTGTACAGACTACTATCAACGACTCACTTCAGAAAGCTGGTTTTCTAACTTAGAACAATCGCCGTTGAATCGTAGACAACAGTTACCAGCACCGTACAAACGACTGGTTGACGGAATCAAGCAAAACCAGCCACGAGAGAACGACTAATAACATCGCGAATTAATTGACCAATCAGGTCAATAAACAAAGTTTAATACCATCAAATAACGTGATACATTTCACATTGACTCTAACGATGACTACCGCACAGGTGGTCGACACGTCAGTCACTGATATCAACAAAAGTCCTATTCAGGACTACGGTCACTCAGACGATCATACTCAACCTACTTATGAAATGACTCCTGGGTTCAAACCTTTCACAGCTTCTTTGCCGTTAATTTGTTATCCACTTTGTCAGATTCACTGAGATTCCTTTAGAGCTTGAGAGATCAGTTAAGCGTGCGGAAATGTAATAAAAACTACAATCTTTTCAAGCCAAATTTTCCTTGTGGTGTGTTTTTGACTTCGGACCCGCGCTGGCACAACATAAATGAAAATTAAATAAACTTAAAACGTTTCATGTAATAAAGCAGTTTGTTTGAGATCGGGATTTCACTTAAACAAACATTTTATGGTTTTAATCCAGTCTGAATTGTTACCCCGCTAAGCAATTGCCATAGATAACCAGACTGACAGTTTTGCCCATCAAGCTTTCCTACACTTTGTATATAACTATAAATAAACAGTTCTTTCAGCGGAGGTTATAATGACGTTTCGGTACCTTACGGTTATCCGACTGGAATCTGAATGGTACAGCAGATTACTGGTGTCATTTCCAACCCATGCTTTGCTTATCGTAGGAGGAGTGAAATCAACCGTAAACCCGTTGGAGAAAGCGTCAACTTTGAGTCCAGCGCGATTTAGGGCTGTAACGATAAACCTGTATTGTGCGCCCCCTTGGAGATCTAAACCTGTCAAAATAAGAAGTGAAAAGTGTTTTGTCCACATTACAGATTTGAATATATGAACAACTTGTACTAATCTTACTCATTGTAGCACTCGTTTCGTACTTTTTCGTTTTAGATTTTGTAACTTAAACCACCCTCCTTTGCCTCGGCTCTATCGCAGTTTACAATATTAAGTCCCCTGGCTAGATGGATGACGTAAGTTGTTCTCTGCTAAAAAACTACAGGAGGCCACCCACAAAAAAATATTTATAACCATATTTTGCATACTTTTTGCAGGTAAGTCTTGTAGTTAGTAATTGTTCTCGGGAACTCCAAACACAGCTGCTAGAACAGTTAGATAGTCCCACTACTGCATATGTTTTCCAAATATGAGTTCCCTACCTGTGAAGGTAACGTTGGTTGCCTTTCCAACCCCGGTGAATGGCTGACTGCTGAACGACAAGTTCCTAGAATCACATAAAGCGACTTCATAAGAGTCGATGCCAGATTCCAAGTCCTCAAAGCCAACCCAATGTGCTGTGATGTCGTCTTCACCATTTACATAATCCTCATCTGAGTCAACTCCATCGATTACACTACCAGCTGAGGGTGGTGTATCGTCAACTATCACGCCATCTGATGTAGTTGAAGTAGTCACGCCAGCGCCGTTCGTTGCTGTGACTGTCAAATAATACTTCTCACCAGTCATGATCGGCTTTGTTAGGACTTTGTCAACAGAATTACTACCAGGGTCCATTTGCGTTTCTTTGATGACGTCACAAGCACCTGCTGACAGTCCTGCGCACCATGTGACAGCAATAACGTCACTTTCTAGATCTTCAAATGCATACCAGTGTGCTGCTAGTTTTGTTCTGCTTTGTTGAACGTCGATGTCTTGACTTTTTATATTTCCATCTCGTACGACACCTTCATTAAAAGGTCCTTTAAGATAAAATGAGAAACAGGGTAAGAAAAATGTGAATTCTATGTGTCAGTGTTTTAGTTTAGAGATTACACACCGTAACTGATTTGTCTCTAAGGTAAAAAGCATTCACAAAGATACTATCTCGAAGTAGCTTTTAGCTAATGTAATCGGCTTTTACCTTCAAATGAAAATAAACTATGCAAATTTTGTCTTTTTTTTAAAAAAAAAATTACAGATGTTTATGGGATAAAGATAACCTGTTCTTAATGCCAGAATCTGTTGTTTACTCTACCTGTCTTGTCAATAACAATCGCGTCAGATGTCTTAACGTCACTGGTCAGGCCAGCTTCGTTCTCTACCTTGACAGAAACAAAGTAAGTTTCTCCTTGATTTAGCAGCAAGTCTTCAAAAGTAAAAGAAGTATCGTTCTTCACGTCTGTAAAGTTCTTGATGTTGCATTCCCCTGGGTTAGTTCCAAGACAGACGTAACTCGCTTGAATGCCACTTTCCAGGTCCACGAAACCATCCCACTGGACAGCAATTTGAGAATGTGCATAAACTTCAGTCCCCTTTAAAGATGCCCATGAGTTGTGAGTATATACAACCTCGCCTATGAATGGAGGAGTGGTGTCCACTGCGAACCCGTCTGAGAATAGTTCTGTGAATAGCCCAGCCTTATTCTCAGTGCGAATATTGGAAACATACTCGTAGCCTTCACTGAATTCAAGGTCAGATAAACAAATGGATGTTTTATTGCCAACGTCAAGGCCCTTGAGCAAACAGTCCTCAGGGTTCATTTTAGAACACACCGACACTTCAGTTGTGAGTATACCACTCTCAGCGTCTGCGACACTCCACTTAACGCAGTAGTCTTCTTTGGCAGAGAGGAAGTCGATGTCATTGTTACCTGTTCTGAGCTGCAAGTCCTCCACCTATAAAAAAAAAAAATGATAAAAATACTACAAACTGTATAGTATAAACTGAACCAATCTGTAGATAACAGAGAATACAAAGAAAAAGAAACAAGAACAGAAGCAGAAAGAGAAGCAAAAAGAACAAAAGCGCAAATGAAGAACGACGGCTATAACCACTATAACTGCTTTTTAAAACTCTAGGGAAGCTTAACAAGATATGAATAAAATTGAATCATACATTTTCTAAAACTCTTACGGGAGAGATTTTGAATGTAAATTTCGTGCAAAATAGGAATCAAAACAATAAAATAAAAGTTGACCCATGGAGGAAAACTGTAAAGGAGTTAAACAAGTTACCTTTGAGAAAACTGGCGGACTGCTGTCGACTTGAAATCCGTCCGAAAATGAAATACTGGATATCTCTGCGTTGTTTAAGGCGTTTACAGTCACGAATATCTCTATTCCTTCGGGAAGTGGCGGGTGAACCTGCTGACTAACACTAGTGCGATCTCCTTCGTCGGTTTCCGTGACAAGGTCACAGATACCTTTTCTTGTTCCTGCACACCATGTGTAACTTACAACGTCTGATTCATCGTCCCTGAAATCATCCCAGTTAGCATAGATGTATTTGTTATCTGCCTGGTAATCGATATCTGTAAGTGTGTTACCGTCTCTTACGTTACCTTTGGCAGCAGGCGTATTATCGACTGTAACTCCATTGGATGTTGCAGTTGTTGTATAGCCTGACTCACTCGTTGCTCGCACGGTCACAAAGTATTTTTTGATTTGCTGCAAACTTAGACCGCTTATTATTCCTTTGAGTTTAATACCGACCCTAACAAAGTCACCCACATCGCAGACTCCTAGTTTCCCTCCCACACACATTTCATACTCAACAATGTTACCTTCACTGTCAATAAATGGAGACCAGTTGGCTGAAATGTGACTGGTAGAGCTTTGAAATTCAATATCCTTCCTTCTCTGCGTCCCGTCATACACTGTTCCAGGGGATGGTTCCTTCCCACTTACTATAAATTGATTCGAGCCAGCTTCTCTAAACAGTCCAGCCTTGTTGAAGGCTCGCACAATTACAACGTAAGACACTCCGTAAGTAAGACCGAGAGCATCGATCTCCAGGATAGTTCTGGTCCCTACATTCACAAACGGACTAATGCATTCGTCTTTGTTACTTGCCTGGCATATGGCCCACTCGAAGTAGTTCAAATGACTCTCATTATCAACGAATCCAGTCCATTTGGCTGTAATTAGATCACCGTTCTTAAAGTACTTGGTTTCGAAAGTATTTCCTACTGTAACGTTCCCTGGCGATGGTGGTGTGGTATCAATTAGCAGAGGTGGGGATGTTACTTCCGTTTTCAAACCTACTCCATTTGTGACTGCTAGCATCATGAAAACAACTGTACCAGAAGTCAGTGATTTAGATAGGTAGTGGTTTCGTGAAGTAACTTTTGGATCTTCTATGAGCGTCAAAGGAACTACATCACATAAATGATTAGCTGTACCTGCACACCACTTTACATATGAAATTCCACTTTCCACGTCATAGGGTTCATCCCAATAAAATGATAATTGCTCACCGTCGTTTTGCAAAATTGCTTGATTCAGATTCTGTTCTTCCCTTTCGCCGCCATGATAGATCCCCGCTATCACGGGTGGAGAGCTGTCAACTATTATGCCATCAGAGGTGGTTTTTCTTTGAAGACCAGCTCCATTGATTGCCTCGAGAGTAAAGAAAAACTGGAAATTCTCTTGAGGAATGATTGTGTGTTTCACGTAGGTGTCAATTCCGCCTGAAACCATGCTTGTCACGTCACAAGAGCCTGGAAAAATATACAGGAACCATTAAGTCTTCTGTTGCTGATGTGTACAAAGCTTAGTTTTAAGGCGTACACCCTTACATTATGTGTTTTGGATCGGTAAAGTTTATTTCTCCCCTCGTAAAAAAAAACGAAGTCGACCCACAAATAGTCTGTTAATGAACAGCTTCATCCCTAAGATATCAGCGTGACAGCAGCCACATAGCTCGAATTTAGGAGGGAAGGTTTCCTGTTCGACGCTTAAAGGCATAAGGGCTAGTTGATGATGATTTTTCTTGTTGCAATGGTGGACGTGTTTGGTGTAACACTGACTGTCTGTATAACTGTTTGTAAGCCCATTTTTTGCGAAAGTGATTTATGTCACAATTTCGCGCCAAGACAGATATATAGAGCGCGCTAAAGATTGCCTTAAGTGTGCCTACTTCCTGCATTTTACTCTCCTAAATGACCAGTGACCTTTTTCTTGATATTCAGTTTCCTTTCTTCAAAAACTTGAAAGTTTATCCTGTCATTTTGCGGCTGTCAAGTGTAACATGTGCTATCGATATCGTTGAAAGAAAGAATTGGATTTACAAACCAATTAATGTTAAGTTTATTATACTTAAGACTGAAGTTCGCCGGACGCTCGTCAGTGTCCGCTTGATTCAGGTTTGTTTAAAGAAATATGGAAAGAAAGTTTAGAATTACGGTCTTTCGTTTTATATGAGGTTCTGTTAAATGCAGTTTTCCACCATAAATAAAAAAACTATAAAAAGTTCCTACCTTGCGATGTTCCCAAGCACCAGCGGTACTCCGTAACGTCACTTTCAGAATCTTGAAATCTACTCCAGTGACAAAACAGTGTCGCTTCCTCTCTTTGGTCATCACTGTGGATTATTGCTTGCGACAGTTGATCAGTCAGTTTACCTTCCATGATTGAACCAACACTAGGGGATGTCCAGTCCACCACGACCTCCTGTGAGACTAGAGACGTCTCCAATCCAAGCATGTTAACACCAGTAACAGTTACAAAAAATGATAGGCCTTCATAAACGGTAAAGTTTGCGAGGTTTAAATCTATAGAGTGACGCAGTCTGTCAACATGCTGAATAGATAAGAGGTCATCCTGAAAAGGTAAGCTACCAATGGCGATAGTAAAGTGGCTGATACCGCTTTCTGGGTCATCAATCGACCAGGTAACTATAGGGGCAGATTGTGAGGTTATAAACAAGGTATCCTTGCCTGATGATGGTGAGATCTTTATTGCTTTTCCGATTGGAGGTGTCCGGTCTATAACTACACCATCTGAAGACGACATCATGGTATTGCCTCTGGTGTTTTCAGCCTTCACTGTCACGAAATATTTGTTTCCATGCAAGAGTGTCAGGTTGTGAAAGCGGCTAGCACTTGTCTTCAAATGGGCGACTTCTGTGAAAGTCCACTTACATATATCTGACCCAGAAAAACTTGCTGGGTGCTCTCTGATACACCAATTATAACCTTGGATATCATACACCGGGTCCTCGAAACCATCCCAATGTGCCCAAATTGCTTTGTCGTCCAGCTGGAAGTCGATGTCATCAGCTGAGGTTATTGGACCGTCACTCACGACACCAGCCGAAAGTTGACCAAATATGATCAGCATTCCTGTCGAGCAATCTGTTTTATGAAGTCCAACTCCATTTGTCAATCGTACACAGACAAAATATGTGCTATTTCCCCACAGTGTTTGATTTCGAATGATGAGTCCCCCAATAGACTCTTTGGGAACCACTTTGGTATAACGATCCGAGTCCGCTCGTTTCAGTTTTAAAAGATTAGTCCCGACAGCCCAACTGGTCATTTTTATTCCACTTTCAAGATCGGCAAAGCCTGTCCAACTAACTGCAAGAGTAGAATTTGGTACTTTGTTCTTTCTTCGATCATAGTTAGGCGGAAAAGCGTAATTTGCAGCTACAAATCCAGGATCGGGGGCGGAGCGGTCTATGATTACAGCGTTCGACGAGCTTCTGCTTGATAACCCAGCGTTATTAATCGCCAATAAATTCAAAAAGCAAGTTATCCCTTGTGGAAAAGAGAATGTTAACACGGATACCTTTGTGTTTATGGGTGAGATTACTGTGTAGTTCCTGATGTCATTTGCTTCTGGAGTTGTCCCAAGTCCCCACGATAGAGATATCAGGCCGCTTTCTTCGTCTCTAACTGACCAATCTGCTGTAAGTAATTCCCTCTGAGGAAAAAACGTGAGATGAAGACCAAAAAGTAAAGGAGATGTGTTGTCAATCGTGACGCCATTTGTCCAGTAAACTGTTTTCATACCAACTGAATTTTCGATCTCAATTCCACTACTGTAAATGTGACCTTCCAAAATTTTTCTGGTAGTTCGGCCTTCACCCGTGATAACTGCCGACCCGGAAGAGTTAACGCGTGTTTTCAAAGCGTGAAATGGAAACAGATATTCTGATTTATACACATCTTTAACCGCAAATCGATATTGTGTTATAGACGATTCGTTGTCGTAACACACCCAGGATATTTTCAATTGACTTGAACTGGTAGCAAATTCCTGTTCATCCTCAGAATCAGCATATCCATCCCAAACCTTGGAGCATGCCGGAGGTGTCATATCAACGATGAACCCGTCTGACTGCTCTGTTGCTTCCAAGCCAACGCCGTTCACAGCTGTCACGTTAACGTAATATGTTGTCCCAGAATTAAGTTCTTTATAAAGCTGTAACTTTGCGCTAGTAACGTTAACAGGAATTGTAAATGAGCCATATGAATCCAGGGAAGAGCCAGCAGAATGTGTCCACACTTGCGCTTTATATGCATGGACACCACTTTCTGCATCAACAAACTTCAGCGTTATAAGTAATGTCCTGTTTGAGCTCTGATAATCACCATCTTTCAGGTGCACTAAAGTGGGAGGGGTATCATCATATACAATGCCATCCGAGAAAGAAACAACTGCGAGGCCAAGTTTGTTCGTACATCGAACAGTGGCAAAATACCGATAACCCAGCTTTAGTTTGTGACCGATTAGGAACGAAGTTTGTGACACCGACAGGCTTGTAAAATTAACAGCGTCTGTTTGCCCAGGCTGCAGACCAAAAGCAATTTCAATCGATGAAACATTAGTTTCTGGATCTAGGCAGGTCCATGATGCCTTCAGGTAGCTCTGAGATGTGTAATTACGATCGCTGATGGGATCCTCACCATCGCGAGTTGGCTGAGAGAAAATCGGAGGTGTGAAATCCACTAACACCCCATTTGAAGAGACCATGGAGCTGGGTATTCCGAGTATATTATAAGCTATCACCGTCGCGTAATAGCGTTCGCCATTTATTAGTTCTCGAACCTTAAGTCGTGAACTTGGTGATGTGTTAACCAGTCCTACGTTTGTAAAATCTTGGATGTCTTGGGCTCCTGGAGCTGATCCAAACGCCAGATGATATGACGCGATCCTTGTTTCGTTTTCTGAAAAGTTGGCCCAAGAAGCTCTAAGAACTGAACTATCAGTCTGTGCGTCGACATCTCGGTCCAAAGACCCATCATTAACAAACCCTGTCAGAGGAGGAGAGGAATCGACCATTACACCATTGGAATGAAAATACGCAACATTTCCAGCTCTGTCCACAAGTTTGAGACATGCGTAGTATTTCTTCCCAGAAGCCAAAGATAATCCGAACAAAACGTGAGCGACGGAATTACTCGGCACCAGTTCTTCCTGTTTTACATCACAGCTACCACCTGCTTTACTGGACAAACCCAAATATGTGGTTTCAATTCCCGAGAAATCCGTAAACCCATACCAGTGTGCTCGGTAAAGAGATGAGAAGCTTTGATACTCAATATCGCTGGAGCCCCATCCATCCATTACTAATCCATATTTAGGGGCTTCAAAGTCAGATAACATGGGAAAAGATGATTTTATTGATAAAAGTCCGGCCCTATTTCTTGCCAGTACGGTGATAAAATAACGTCTGTGGTTTTCCAGAGTTGTTGGCTCAGGGGAAGTCCAGTTAGCTCGCAACGTTGAGGTGTGTTCACGTAGAGAAAGCTTTTCAAACTTCACTACGTCGTCTGCACCAGAAAAGGTTCCGACCCCAATTTTACAAGTGGTTATTAAAGAAATCTCGTCTTTGACTATAAAATAGGAGCGAAACGTGATAACGGTAGTGTTCACAAACTCCATCGTTTCACCAAAATACCCATGTTGTACAAGTATTATTAACGGGGGACTGCTGTCAACAATGAATGGGTTTGAAAAACCTCGGGAATTGACACCTGCTTTGTCTGTGGCTTCGATAGCTACTGAGTACACTCCATCTTCCATATCAATACTACGGCCACTATAACTTTGAGTCCCCACTGGTCTTAAAGGGCTAAGAAGCGTTTTATTTTCTTGAGACATTACCGACATACTGAACATGCTAATTCCACTGTGTATGTCATAGAAGCTGTCTTTGCTACACTCGCTGGAATTCAAGAGGACGTTATTTCTCCTCTCGTCAGCAGAACACCATTTCCACCGCGCCCAAACGGACTTTGATATCCACTGATATAACACTGGAGGCCCTTTTAGTCCCGTGACTACCTTTCCAGCATTGGGAGGAACGAAATCAACGGTCATACCGTTGCTGCTGGCGTTGACGCACATACCCACTCCATTACAACCCACAACTGTCATGTAATACACCTGGCCGCTTTCTAGGAGAAGTCCTGATACTGTCACATTGGTTTGCGATCCTAAAACAGGAAATGATCTAACATCAGCTACTCCAGGTTTTGTTCCCAGTCCAGCACGATATTCAACCACTCCGCTTTCAGCATCGGCGAAGGCTTGTTCCCAATGTGCCGTAAACGTGAAACGTTCAGTGGTAAAGTTTCTGTCCTTTCCACTTTCGCCATCTTTGATATAATAAGACGCAACAGTAGGGGGGGTTATATCAACCAAAATGCCGTCTGATGTGATCGTTTTCTTCAGGCCCGCCCCGTTGATAATTTTCACTGTGACGTGATATCTAACTTTTGGTAGAATTGTCACGTTGTAAAACTTTACGTAGAACATTTCACTTTCCACTATGGTTAGAGAAAAGAACTTTCCATCTTCGAATGCTTTTATGTTAACACCTCCCGGGTATGTTCCTATACCTAAACTTTGGTATTTGATGCCGCTTTCACGATCAAAACACTTCCACTTTGCTTGAATGATTTGTAAATCTCCCACAACATCTACGTCATCCATGTCGGTCTCGCTCGTCACGTCGACCACATTTCCCTCGCAAAAAGGTGGTGTAACGTCTGGTTTGAATCCGTTCGTTTTAATTATCGATTGAAGACCCGCTGCATTAGTTCCGCGTAGTACAAGCCTGTATAAAGAGCCAGGAGTAAGAGAGAGGCCTTCCATTAGCGGTTCCTGTTGGGTCACAGGTATTCTGACGAATGGAGTGACATTTATAAAACGTCCTGAAATATTCGCTTCAATCTTCCATTCATACTTTATAATTGGGCTCTCTGGGTCATTGAACGGTCGAAATTTTCCACGAGCACGTGTTAATGATGGAATAAACTGAGCATCGACATCCCCCGTACCGTCTTGAAATGATACTGGTATTGGTGGAGTTATGTCTATTAAGACACCATCACTGCACATAACTGTCTTAAGTCCAACTTGATTCATTGCATACAGACGGGTAAAGTATTTTTTTCCATGTTCAAGACTTAAGCCGGATACTTGAATAGAACTGTAATCTCCAAGGGATGACAGTGGTACAACTTCTGTCTCTGATTCGTCAAACGTGCACGTCGACTGCGAAGAAACTCCCCATTTCAGATTTACTATCTTAATTGAATCACTTTTAAAAGCATAATTTACTGCTAAAGAATACGTATCAGATTGATAGTCAACATCTTTTTCTCGTAAAGCACCGTCATAAACAAATTGAATTTGTGGACTCTTCTGCCATGCTTGGAATAATGGGCAATAAGCTAGAGAGCTGTCCAGCCCTTCTTCATTCTTTGCCATGACACTTACAAATACGTTTCTGTCGTGCATGATTGACAGTTCCTTGACTACCAAGGTCAGTGATGTATCAGTCCATTTAGAGAAGTAATCACCAAAGCCTTTTATAGATCCTATTTTTACATTGTAGGATTTAATCCTTGTGTCGTCGTGAAATCCGTGCCACTGAATAAAGTAAGTCTTATCTGATACTTGTTGTGCAAGACAGTGTCCAGCTTTAGGGGGCGTGAATTTTACATTTCTGTCGCAGTTATTGAAAATAGTTCTCTCTATTTGCGGTTTTGACCACGTCCATTCTAGAACTGTTCTTTGTCGCCCCCAAGAAATGGAAATTCTGAGGCCAAAAATCCAAGCATCCACATTGAGAGAGCGAAAGCTTACCCAAAGGAACACTCTTATCCTTAGAGGTGTCATAACCAGTTTGAGTTCGATACACGCCTGTGGTGGCAGCCTGCTGATGTCTACACTTACTGTCGGTATTAGAGAGGTCTCGAGTAGTCTAGCTTCAACGGTAACCCCAACAGCAATTACTACAATAGATACGCTTGCACCACCATAAGCCTTAACCCACGCCCCTGGTATAAGGCCCAGTTTAAATAATTTGCTTTTCACACACATTGCTGTCTGTAATTCAATACTATAATGACCACCTGCTCCTATAAAAAATTTTACAGGTGTTCCCATCACAGGGACGGTTATTTCCTGATGAAAAAAGGTGACAGAATTGCTTAGTAAACTCATTTTCTGTAGGCTCATACAGGGGCCTGTATCTGCAAGGTATCTTCGTACCCTTTTTGTCCCATGATGAATGTCTTCTAGGCTTTCGTGGTAGACATCTGTTTCCATAAGCTGTTGAAAGATACTTCGCTTGCGTTTTGATCCACATTCAACCTCTCCAACAGGAAAAATTTTTCGTAGAGGTAAAATATCGTTATTGAGTAGCCTTAGGTGAAGGCAATTTTCTTTTATAAAAAAACTAGTTTTTAAAATTGGTAGTCTCAATTTAAAGTACCTATCCTCATAGTCTCCACCAATGAGTTCTATGTTATCTTTCTCAGCTAGAGTGCCGCTAGAAAACGCAACAGCAACCACTTCGTTATCAATTGTTGTGACAGATTCTAAACCGGAGGGAGTTCTAACCACTCTCACAAGAGTGTTTTCATCCGTTGTTTCGCCCCTGCTAAGATCGTGAAACTCGAGTTTGCACTGAAATCCAGCAATCAATGCGCATTTAGAGAGGCATGCGTATTCGCCACCAAACTGTCTCAAAATGGTCATCCCTTTAACGTTCTTTCCTATGTGAATTATTCTAGCTGGAGTTAAGCCAGTAGTGGGCAAGTCACCAATTGGAGAAAGTTCATAACCATATGCTTTCCCAGTTTCGTCGCATGTAAGCCACAACATATTGCTTACTTTGTCATAAGAAACAGATGTCGCCGTTCCTTCAACAGATACTGTCTTTGTGATATCAATCCGCGAAGGTTTATCCAAAGTAATTTCAAATTGAAGAACAGATTTTTTGATGGAAATGATTTTATTTCTTTCGCAATCGCTCACCCAAATGTATTCGCCAGCTAAGGCAACACCACCAATTTTTAAGGACAAAGGGTGGCCTTCTTTAGAGAGTTGAACGATTTTCTCCACACCCCGGTCGAAGTTTGTGACAACAAGAAGAGATGCCTTTTTTTCATTACTTGCAACACCATACATCCCAAGAATCATTTGGGTATTGGAAAGCTGAGAAATTCCTTGAATTTTATAATCATCAAACAACCCTGGAGTTAACCAGCGACCGGCTTTTTGCATGGAGGAAAGATCATCAAGATGGGGAAATTTCCAAGGAAAGATAGTCGACAAATAGACTGTTGATGATCGTCTTATGGAACGTAGGCAGACGTCTTCAGAACAGTAAGGTATGTTTTGCCATGGCTTGTACTCGCTGGGATCTAAACCCCTCTGTCTAGATTGAATCTTGTTTAAAAAATTGCTGACTTTGTCTGCAAGCCCGTTCACTTTAGCAACAGCTTCACTGGCCTCCAAGGTATACCTTTCAATAAAGGGTTTGACAACTACTGACATCTCCCATGTATTAGTCAACAAGCTAATAGTTGGCGCTGACACATAAGTGGCCACTTCATTGAAGGTTTTTGCAAATCTAAGTGCGTTTTTATAAGCGATGTCTAAGGCGGTCAGAGTCTTGTCCACATTTCGACTTTTCTTCCACAGTTGATGAGAAAGCTGGAGCCTGGAGCGTGCAGTTACGAGTGTTTGAACGTGTCTTTGTATGGCGTCGTCGTGCACGCTACGTAACATGTGGAAAGTACTTCCTTGAAAAGCTTGTAATTTAATATTGGTCGTATTGGCTTTTTGCATATAGTCAGTGATTAGCTCATTCGCAACTTTCTCATTCTTCAGGTCTCTTTTCAGACGTTGTTTTTCACTTTTTTCTGGCTTTCGACCAGTAATCTTTTGCAGCATGATTATTACTCTTTTGAAGTCATCTCTATTAGACATGTTTTGGACCTCTTCAACAATTAGGTTTACGACGTCAAAAAGCACCATCATGTTGTCTATGTTTTTTTTGCACATTTTAAGCAAGGTAGAGTAGCCACTAACTTCGCCAAGTTTAACTTTAATGGAATTTGCTTTGTTCTTTACCACCTTTCCTTGCTCAATGAACACTTTGGAAACGCAACTACCACTTTTTAAACATTTTTGGATTTTGAAGTTCCTCCACGTTTGTGGCACCATGTTCTTCAGGACCTCTATTTCGGCTTTTAAGTCTTTGTACTGATCGATAAAGGATCTGCCAACCGCTTGTGCCTTGCGAACGCAAGGCCCATTATCCAGAACTATTTTTTTTATTTGCGTACAGTCAGGTAGCTTTTGTAACATTGCACTTAAGGGCAATAAGGTTTTAGTAAATGGCTTTAGTTTGTATAGAATTGCGTTAACTTCAGTCACCATCGAGCTCATTTTTTTCACTTCCAATTTAATCTCATTCACAGAGACTTTTACTGCTCTAAGATTTGATGATGCCTTATTCATAAACGTTTTGGATTCCTGTTTTAAGAAGGAGTTAACCTCTTGTACCACATCATAGTGACTGAGTTTCTTCAGTGTTTCACTAGTGATCTTCCGGAACTCATCACAGATACGTGTTATTCTCTGGTCAAAGTCAATTCCAAACTGTCTTCGCAAATCTAGCTTCTTAATATCATCTCTATAGCTTTGCGCTCTTTCAGCAAAATTTATGACTTCGTCTACTGTTTTTCTTGCTTTGTATGTGAATTGTGGAATATTTCTAAGATGCCTAAGCGCTTTGTTGATGATAGAAGCTATCTCTTGAACGGTGGTAGCAAAACTCTTTTTCGTACCTAGAATTGAAAGGAAGTCTGATACCATTTGAGCAACGCGAGAAATCTTTCCAACGCGAATTGCTAGGTTTTCCTTGTACCAATTTTCCACTTCTGTTATAGTAAGTCTCACCTTTCTTCCAGCTGCCTTTATCTTACTCGCCCCAGGTCCAATAAAAGACGTAAGGTCATCGAGTGTTTGATGGACGCTATTTTGTACGTCATCAATTACGTCGGCTGAGAATCTTGATGCTTTGGTGCATGACCCTCTTACTTTAGACGAAGAACCATTTGTAAAGTTCAAGATATTATTGGCTAGATTCTTTATGATAGCCATTTCTTTTGTTGAGTCTGAAAGTAACCCATTGGCAAAACCTGTAAAATTATTTTCGACTTTTTCCATCAAATTTTCCACAAGGATGGTAAAATTGTGTAGTTCCATAAGGACCGTTTCAGCTGCCTTGTGAACATCCTTCAGATCCGAGATACCTTCCCTCTGGAAGTTTTCGTGAAAAAAGTCTAATGCCGCCTGACGGATTTCGCAAATCGACTGACCATTCCGTTCAAAAAATGGCGTGACGGCGGGTCCAAGTTCTTGAAAGAAGTTTATAATGTCACTGATATCAGACACATTCGACATATATGAGTGGAGGTGAGTTGTTAGCGCCGATAAAAATGTTTGTAAAACGGTAGCAGAATCAAAAGAATTTATCACTGTAACAGCTTGTTTTTTTCTAAACAAGTCAGTATAGCGTGTTTTCAAATCATATTTTCCAGCTGGCAAGATGTCTCGAAAGAAAGTTTCGAGATCGAAATTATCATTTGAAAACTGACTAAAAAAATCACTAACATTCTTAAGGATTGTAACTAATTTCTGGACATCAGAAGAATCTAACTGGAGATTGAATTTTAAACTAAGCCTCCAGTCAAAGGTAAGTCCAAAATTAAATCTGTCTTTTAGAAACGTTGATGATCGCCTTTCTAAGAAACGCAGCTTTAATACAGGCAGTTTTACGTCTTTAAAAGATTCCAGCAAATATGACATGTGCAGAACATTGTTGCTAAAATGCTGTAGCCGATTCAAAACTACTTGAAAACTCTCAAGTGAAAAGGAAAATTGCTTTGTTAGTTTAAATGGAAGCTGAGAGCTGAATCCATCCGTAGCAGGTGATCCTAGCGTAGGAAAATATTCTTTAATCTTTTCTTTCTGTTGGCTCGCTGAATTTTTCCCGCGGGCATGAAGTTCATTTGTGCTGAATCCTTTTGGCAAATTGTTTAGAAGGTCTTTGCGTATGCCAACGACAGCTCCAAGAACCCTGTCCAAGTTGTCAAGAGCTGTCTTGAATAAAAAGCCAAAACGTGTAGTGTTAACCAGAATTTTATTTATTGTTGTGGTTCTTTCCATCATTGACTTCCATCTGTTTACCTGAACGTGCACTTTTTTCGAATAACTTACAATGTTTCTGGTACTTTTAACAGCTTGCAAGGGAAGTTTTAAGTGTTGTAAAAACTTGTCAATACTCTTTACAAATTCTCTCAACTTATCTAAGCGCAAAGGGACAATTCCACCAAGTCTTTCTCTAAACTTTTGTATATCATTAGTGATCACGCTTGCAATACTGTCGAACTGCCTTAGAAGTTCGTCTCCAGCGTCTACAACAGTATGTATGAGGTCTTTAGGAATGTCGTTTTTGAAACTTGCTGCTGCCCTAAAGGTGGCTTTGCCTTGGAATATGTCAAAAGGATATTTGAGAATGTGACCTTGAAACAGTGCAGAATTATAAAGATTTACTTCAAGTTTTCCGTCAAAAAGTCCAACTCGCAGGCTAAGTTTGTTAGCAAAGTCAACATTAGTTTCAGCTCCCAACCATTTACCTCCTACTTTCATACCCCAGTCTTCTGAACGGCCTAGGTTGAACTCTCGAGGTCGGAGTGCTGGTATCAATGCTCGCTTGCGGCGATTTATTAAGTTACGTCTTTTACTTAAGTACTTTGCTTTGCTATGATTACCGTGGTTTTCAAGGAACACACGTATTGCTGAATCCAATGCCTCGCCTTTGTTAGCGTGCCGCATAGCATGCTCTAAGCCCACAACTACTAAATCACTTAAATTTTGGTGACGCTCTATGAACACGTGGACAACTGCCGTCTTGACATCACTTTGTTCGTCCTGGTGCAAGGCTTTTATCAGATGATGATATGTGTACTCTTGGGGCATTTTGCGCATTGCTGAAATAACCGCTGATCGGATGCTGGAATCGTCATGGTCAATGTGCTCCAGAATTATTGGAAGTCCAGAATGGTGGCCAAGATTACCAAGCGCCCAGATGTGGTCTCTTAATTGCGTTTCATGATCGATACTGTCAGGATCGTAAATATTTGACTTGTTTTTATACCTGTTGACTATAATCTCTACAACGGTTTCACTCAAAGTCTCATTATATCCTGCCTTTGTCGCTCTTTCTGTAAGGCCAGCTAAAACCAGCATTGCTGTGGCTGTAATGCTGTCCTCCTTTGTGTTGTCAAATGCCAGCTTCAAAAGAGCATCGAAGAGATTAGAATGGAGTGGTCCAGTTGGTAAGTAATGGATTGCAACCAGCAACAATTCAAATTCTTCCAAGGTAAGAGGCCTTGGCGTGGACCTCATGACCGCATCGGCTAGAGCGTTCTGAGCTTCGTATTTCCCATGTGCAGCAAGAACAGATGAAAAGACGCCCCAAGACGTTATGTTTTGGTGATTTCGGTTTTCAAAGAGTTGCTTGATCGCTTTTATTACCCTTTTATCCTTGCGAATTAAGTGATGTAACTCGGTTGAACAGTAAGCAATTTCCCGTTCCTGAACGGATTTCCCGACAAGGCAACGTAGGAGTTCATCTAGAGGTCTTGTTTTCATGTTATCTTTTTCCACATCCGACCAGTTTATTTTTTCGTTATCGGTAAACAAGATGCTATCTCTGGTAAGAGTCTTTAAAATATCCAGATGCTCTTTTTCAGTGACAGAACGTTTCGAACGCGGATGGTGCGGATCAGAACAAGACTTCAATCTCAGTTTGCTGTAGCCAGTGGTTGATACTTCTATATCCTGATTTTCAAAGTTTTTTACATTTTCTGCTCGGGGATGGCCATTGGGAGGCCTGAAAAATGCCTTTGTCGACCGATGCACCTGTTCTACTTTGCCTTTTTTTAAAAGGACGTGAGCGCTGTGGTAAGACTGCAAATTGTGTTTCCCCTTAACCGGAGTGCCATCAGCAAATTGCTGGTAGTCATAGTTTGTCCACATTCGATGGAAATGAGCGTGTGTATCATTATTATGTAGGACATTGTACTTAGCTCTAAAGATACCGGAGTCATCTTTTTCTTCCACTTCGTAGACTGTAGATTTGTTTGCACCAAGAAGGTTGACTTGAAACGCTCCAACGATGCCTATTGTTGCAGAAAGTGATAACATTAGTTTAGACGTACTTAAGAGCGGCCGTCCGTAAATATCGCCTGGGGGCGTGCAAAATGAAAAAATCGAAAATCCCCAAACTTTTACAGAATATAGCCCTAGGTGAACTATTTCTAGAAAAATAACTTTTAGTTCGATTAGATTTTTCTTTTACGCCGTCCGCGACCGAGTCGGTTCGGAAGCTCACACGGCAGTTCTCAGGGGCTAATGACCATATATTACTTAAAAATCGTTTAAAAATTAAAGAGGAAAGAAATTCTGCTTCTGGGAATCGTACCAAAAAGAGCTCAACTTAAACAATTGTTTTGATGTAAAATTTTCCTATTCGACGGCAAATTAAATATTTTTTAGATTTTTAATTATTTTACTTATTTCGCCCATTTTTCACGGACAAAAAATAGCAAAACTTCAGACTCGAAAATCACTCCTTGGTATACAGCTTTGGACCATACCTTTCCTACCAATAGAAAGAGAAAGGTGTCTTCTTCACATAAATGCAATAAAATTCTTGGGCAATCCAAAAGGCAAAATGTTTTGAGCGCCGATCAAAAGCGACCGTTGAGGTCAAAACACGCCATTTTGTCACGACATTCAAAGGGCAAAAACAACAATACTCTCGTTATTTAAAATATTTTTGCGCTTTGTAGCACAGAACGCCTTGTATTTGCCAAGAAGGTTTGCTTTTTAAGTAGCTGTATGATTTCTCTTGTTCATTTTGTTGCAAACCGTTTGCTAACAGGTGACATTTGCGATCGACTTGCAATATCTAAATTCTGTGTTATTGCTCCCGTGACTCTTTGCAAAGTTTGAAGTATCAAAAGGTCTTGAATTTTATAAAGTGCGTGCTAATTTGTTATTAACAAGGAAAGTAATATACTCTGATTGATCAATATGTGGATGGGTAAAATAAGCTGATTCAATATATACAAACAGGCTTCCATCCTATGCAATGCCGAGTTACCGATCGAGTACTTATACTTCACGGAATGTAACAATTGCGTGACACAGGGGCGCAGGTAATGCACCTCAAACCAGAAGCTTACTATTGAGCGATTTAAGGTTTAAACGACTTGTACAGGTAAGGATACCTGGCATATGTCGTATTCTTAATTAGCTGAAACTTTTGTTCCCCCTATACCTTTTCTGGCGAGTAATCAAAGACATGAAAACATCCATAATCCCAATTCCGTATCCCTACTCACTGCTCTACCCTACCTCCGCAGGCGCACAAGCTGAGAGACAATCCTGCGTTTCAGTGGACTAATTTAAGAGGGTACTTTTGTAATTAATTAATTTTATTTTTGTATCGACATGCTAAATATCTGTTATTATACAATTAAACTGGAATAATACTGTAGTGGGAAATTTGAGTGAGTAGGTGGACGGAGTAGGAGCTGTGAATGTTTCCGTATTAGTCCAGACACCCAAGTTTCAATAATAATATTAGTTGCAGGAGCACGATCTTACATGGTCCTCAATCAATTTTACGTAAGGTGCTTTACGTTTCAGTGAAACACCTTCGCACTTCGAGATCAAAATAACAGCATATTAAACGCAACATTGACACGCTGAGCTTGGTCAGTTTCCTTTGTTCGCACATTTCACACAGATTGTACGTGTCATACATGACTGGATGAACAAACTGGTATTCCTGGATTATATGAGTGCGCACAGAAGAGTATACATCTTCCTCTTCAACGGCTTGAACATCGCACTCATCAGCATCATCGCAACTTTCGGACTGACGTAACTTCGCTGCAGCTCTTGAAAAACAGGATTTAATTTGCTGAGGTGAAAGGAATTCAGCTGGTGTGAACATGCGGTTGCCATCTTCTTCTTTTGCGTGCCTCATATCTCTAGCCACGTCTTCCGGGTCTGTTTTATATCCAGTTTGTTCACCGATCTTAAACTTTTCGTTTAAGTAATTCTTCTGCTTGAAATTGAATCTAGAACTTTTTTAGGTTGAACGTAGGGCCCAACCCGGTGATAGCAGATGCCCCGCCCTCTTTTCTACCACAACTGAGCCCGCTACAAAAGGCTGTGCACTGGCACCTTCTTCGAGTTTTTCGAAGTACATCATCTTCGCCTTGTCTAAGAGGCTGTGTTTCTCCTCGAGAAACTGGCATTTTTCATAATGCAAGTGGCGCTCAAGATTATAGTGGCGCTGAAAGGTGCTTACGCATCCCTCCACTGGACAATAAAAGAGCGGGCTTTCGTGGTCAGCGGAAACAACACTTTCCTCTTTTGTCGGCGACTCTTCCTTTCTATTATTAGAGGCCTGGGCGTTGTCACATGAAGAGACATCTTGAAAGTCTCCTTGGGAAAATGAACAATGTGTGAAAACTGGTTCCTCTAGCGGGCCTATTTCAACTAAATAACGAAAGAAAAAAATATTAAAAGAGAAAGGCCTTCAGAATTTTTTATCAAAAAACTTCAGTAGCGGATTATGGATGCTCAATCTCACTAAAACAAACGTTACTTCAAAAGTATTGTGTAGTTACCTTTTTAAGCCTAGTGAATGGGCATGCTGAAATTACAACAGTTCTCAACCTACTTTAAAATTAACAGCGTTGCAGCTATCTCTTGTAGTTCGCATTGATGTCTATTCAGTTACGCTACGTTATAACAAAACTAGTGCCAAAATTATGAGTTAGTTATCTATAGCTTCTAAGATGTCTGACCTTCCAGTTGTGTCCATGGTACTTTCTTTCCTTTACCCACGTCAAATGCTTTCCACGCTGTGAGCTCTCGGTCTCCCAGATAGAAGTTGTTAAGGCTGCTAACTCCCTCTAATTTCCCACGCAGAGACGTTGGACGCACGATGGACATGTCGATCAAAGCCACCCGAACACCTCTAACACCACCATGAGAGAGCATTGCATCTCGGAAGTCTTCTGCAGTGACCACATCGTGACCTTCGTTGAGATACCTTAAAACGTGAGCTTTAATTGTGGCCGCCTTTCTGTCACAGGGCCCCTTACCGCCTTGCGGGTCGCTAAAATCAACTCTTTCTACTTTAATTCCCGTTGCTTTCTCCATAAGTCCACAGGCAGCTAACATGGCTACACTGTGATAACATCCAGCATTGTCCTGGCGGAGAAAGGCAGTTGTTGTTTCAGGATGGTCAATTTTGAGCTGCTGCAAGGTGTGGCGTAAAACGCTTACCACCGCGTCACTGTCTTGGTTACAATTCTTCGCAATGTGGACAAATGCTTGGTGTTGCAGGTTTCCCTTTCGACGTACGACGGTACTGATATGCCAAGAGATTCCTCTTTTAGCAAACCAGTCGGCTTGGGTTTCCCGGTACTTTCGGGGCAAGAATTTCATCGCCCAGTCTTGAGTGATTAACACTGAACTTTCTGCCAGGGTATCTATGATGTTTAAGCGGGCCTTATCCTGTTGAATAGATCTCAGTTGATGAGCCTTCCAAGCTTCTATTGCTGTATAAGCTTGCTGAAACGAGTACATGACGTCATCCCGGTCTTCTTCATCCAGGTTCGCTTCGATCAAATTCAACTCAATTTCTTTTAAAGTGTCTTTCAGCCGATCACAAAAGGGACAACTCTTGTCGTGGGCGTGGTCACACATTTCTCGAAGACACTCTTCTTTTGTATCAGTTAGGGCGTACGCACTACAGTGGTCGGGGATACTGGATGCTCTGGTGATATGAACCTGCGAGAAAGTAGTCAGAACAAAAATAATGAGCTATATCTACAAAGAAGAATTTCTTCATTGTGTTTTTGAAATTTCTGGGTAAATTTTGAATTCGACATCTTAAAGAAGAAATCATCAACCTATGATTGGCCAAAGAACTAGACACGATTTATCACACATCTTTTACTGCGGTCATACAATTAAATTTATTTAATAGTATAAAAGGGGTAACTAAGCATAAAAGGTAGGCATAGCTACAATAATTTTTAAGGGTTCAACTGATCGCCTTTGCATATTTATTTCTTTTATGTGATTACCCTTTCAGTGTTTATATTATGAATGGTTCTCAAATATCTACCTTGTAGTCGGTTTTCAAATACTGTTTTCCCTCTTTCAGAGCTTGCTCGCATCTAACGACCCACTGTCTGTCTCCAGTCCTTGCAACTAATTTTAGCAAATCGTTAAAGGCTTTTGCTCCTTCAGCGGCAAAGTAGTCTAGTCCTTGAAGTGACTTTCTTACTGTAGCGGTACACGATGACAATATTCGTAACATTGTGGACGGGCTGAACGGAGAAAAATTCGTCTCCAAGCAGAACTGGTTATACTGATCAATTATGCGCTGTGGTATCATGGACCTTATCACATTAGGTGTTTCGAGTACCTTGCCGTTTGATAGGTACAGGTAGCGTTGGCCAAACGGTAGATCTTGGACCACGTGGGGACTGGTAATGAAGCTTAAAAAATGATCGAGCTGGATTTCGTCTACCCTGAGTCTAGGGCTCTTGGCGGCAGGCAAGGGAACACCGCGTCCATGCTCGATGGAATGTTGGCGAGCTACTTTGATTCTGTAGTCGGTGATGCCAGGAATAAATTGCTGCAAAACAGAGTACGGTGTCAAATCAGCCATTATTGACAACACCTGTCGGCGGGTGTCCCAACTACTTGCATTCTGATAGGTCTCTGCTAACGCTTCCAGGTACTTCTTATCCAACGGAGATTGATTTTCTGTGCCCAAGGCTTTTTCTACAGACTGTAAGCTTTTCATTGCTTCCCATAGGGCTGCCGGGTTTCCAGGAGAAATGACCTCTAACGACGCAACGACAGCATCTTTTGCTTTAGATACGCGAACATTTTTAGTTCGCGTGCTTAGTTGCTCCCAACTTTTTTTCGGTTGATTC